GCTAGGGACGCGATTTCAGTCGAGAGAAAAAAGGCTAATGCCGAGATCCCGTATACAGTTCCGATCCTTTCAAGGCGAAAAATACCACAAATGAGATCATTAGCATCTCACCTAACTTTATTGAGATATTCAAATCGAGATGTAATTTAAACATGCAATTTTCAGAGCTTTATTCATAAACCTCAGATTTTGTTCGTCTCACGTCAACAATCATCAACCACGAAAACAGTGTGGTCTGCCTATGGTCCCCTGAAGGTATCTCTCCCAAGCCCCAGAAAACAGCTAGAACAATGAACCGGCCAAAGCTCGATCGAAATCTCGATAGAACCGAAACCTTTCCATGCGGAGTCCAACTCGCTAAGCTTACTTTCATAATGGAGTGAATGGAAGATATTCTTCCACTTTTCAATTTTCTCTCCATAGTCGCTGAGATAGCTCAAGATGGAATCGCCAGATTAGCAGTAGGACCAAAAGACGATACCAATCTTCAGGAAGGTAACGTATTACCTTCGTAAATGTAAAAGAAGTCCAGGGAAATTAAGAGGACATGCTATGTTGTTAACCCTTTACACTATATCATCAGTATTTGTATTTTCCATACTCTTACCTATAAAATTCTTTGCTGCTCACAAGGAGCAGCTTCTCAGGTTGACGATCATTTCCATAATTCCCTTGATCGTGATGAATGATTCAGAGCAGTATTGCTGTAAGGAGAAATTGGATGCTGGTCACTCTGAGGGTTTAAAAGGTTGTCACTAATCTTTTTATTTGTCATTAGCTGAAGCTTCAATCACGAGAAGAGTTCTTCCTTCAGTGGGGATTCTACCTGGTAAACCATTTCACGTGACTCACAGACGAGGCAGAGAATTACAAAAGGTATACGATTTTTTCGTCGACTTAAGACAGAACGTTTCAAGCTCCACAGTCATAGGCTTGTACATTAAAGGTCCTCCCGGTTGTGGAAAGACACAACTAGCAAGACAGGTTGGAGAAGAGTTTATGCAAAACATTACACCTGGGGGATGTTTCGAAAATATGCCTCGTGTCGTCGCTACGTTGCAAGCGAATAGCCCTGAGTCAATGTTACAATCATTCAAAGAGTTACACGAGAAGTTAGAAATCCCTAACGAACGCGAATATCAAGGAGGTGTCCGCGAGCAGATCAAGAGTTACGTGGAAGATTTTAAGAACTACCTTCGTAGAACAAAATCTGTCTGGCTTTTGATCGTTGATAACCTAACAGTCAGTGATCAAATGAGAGAATTCTGGCCATCTCCGGGACAGGAAAGCTCATGGGGGGAGGGAACAGTCTTGGTTACGACCCAGGATTCTGAACTCGCCCCCAGATCCCACGCACATGCCAGGGTAATCTCGCTGGATTCAGGGATGGAAGAGGAAGACGCTATGGAATTGTTACGAATGATATCTGAAATGGATGTGGATGAAGATGCTAAAAGAGTCGCTAGCGTTCTTGGCTATTTTCCACTGTCTCTAGCTTGTGCAGCAGTTTATGTCAGGCAAATGAGTTTGGATCGCCCGGTTTCAAAGTTTTCTTGGAAAAACTATCTGTCGAACCTCCAAGAGTACTTCGCATATCTTGATCATTCTGATTTCACGCATCACAATCCATGTTATCCGCAGTCAATGATACGAGCAGCAGAGTTCGCAGCCATACGGATGGCCGAGAACAGCGAAGTTCTCCGGGCTGCCTTCGTGTTCCTTTCGTACTGCTCCTTACGACCCATTCCGTTGGACACTGTGGCTGATTACGTCTTACGCGAGGCTAAAGCCAGTGGTAACGTCAACATCAGAGTGCCTGATGACGTCAAGCTAAAAATAGCAAGGTGTTCTTTGCTAATATATCCGAAAACAGGAGAAAGAGGAATCGAAGTGGTTACGCTTCATCAAGTAATGCGGTTGGCGTTCTCTCAGATCAGACGAAAACAAGGCAAGTCGGGAAAAAATGTCGATAAATGTGAAGCTACTGGTGAGAAGAAAAAAGAGTTGAGTGGAGTACTTCAAGCCTTAAACGAAGCCTACAAATCAAAGAAAGGTGGGTTAAAAGAGCGCGATCTTGCCATAAGGATTCTGCTGTGTCCACACTTGAAAGAGTTTGTTGAAGAAGTAAAAGTGGTCCAGTGGCTTGAAGAAGATTTACTTGTAAAGGCGTTGGTTTACCTTGCGGATGGTCTTGTACACGTTGCCGGGGTAACCGACAATTACCGCGTGGCTTTACTTGAGCGCGCTTACAAGATCAACAAACAACTGGGTTGTACTGATATCACCGCATGCAGGTTGCTTCAAGACTTGGGTTACACGTACCGTGAGGCGGGCTTCCTGGATAAAGCGATTCCGATTCTGGAGGACGCCAAGAAGCTCTGCGAGACTGAAACAGATCCCATATGGATGGAAGAAAAATCAAAGGTCTTAAATGTTCTTGCTTTTACGTTTCGTGAAGGTTCTCAGCTGGACTTAGCAAAGAAGTACATGAAGCAATGCGTTGAAGTGACCCGGGAGGCTTATGGGAACAGTCACGTTGAGCTGGTTGAGAGAATGTGTAACCTTGGAATCATTTTGCACGACAGATGGGAAAACGATGAGGCTATACAAGTCCTGGAGGAGGCCAGAAAAATTATTGAAAATTGTGATTCGACTGAGATGTTCCTTCGTGGCCAGGTGTTGAATTACACAGCTAAAGTCCATCTGCGATGGTATCTTGGCCTGCGTCACACCCATCCACATGCGTGCCGCACCAAAATGCATCTGAGAGAATCGGCCACGCTACACGCGCAAGCGTTAAAAATCTACCTAGATCTTCACGGAGATAATCACAAGTTCCCCAACGGAGTTAGGATGACATACGGAACGGCAAAACTTCATTTAGGAGACATTGACGAAGCTTACGAGATGTGTCAGAAGGCCGTCGAGGTATACAGAAGCTCAGGACATATTGCGTGGCCGCGTGCGGGTACATTCCTCGCAGACGTCCTATTCACCCGTGGGGAATATCGACGCGCGAAGGATTTTCTGGAAGAGCTTGTACAAGTTCATAAGGATAAGAACCTCGTAGTGAGTCCCGGTGCCTATCATCCTAGGGCTCTCTTGGGCGAGGCTTTTGTGCACGTTGGTGACATGGACGCTGGAGAGAAGATCTTGGACGAATGTCTACAAGAGTGGAAAAAGAAAGGAATTCATCCAGAACATTACTGGGTAGCTCGTGTGCAAGCGTTTCTCACAGATCTAAGATCACGAGAGTCGATGAAATGCAGCGGTCAAATCTTCAATGAGCTGCCCGATCAACTGAATTGAAGAAAGATTTTATGAGCGCTTTAGAAACATACATAAGCCGGTAGAGTGGCTAGATTTTTTTTATCTATGACAAGTTTGTCGTCGACCTTCAATTAAAAGTTATCGTGTAGGACACAATTCAGAAACTAGAACGTATCCGATATGCTTTCGATGTTCTTCTTAAATGTAATTATCTCGTTAAATGCAACCTTCTTTGGTAGAAGAAACTTTCATTAACTCTTCTCTACGACAAATTGAACACTTGTGCACATGCACGTACAAGTCTAGCGCTGCACTTTGTGGCGTTTGAAAAGTTTTCGTGGCTTTTGTTTAACACTTACCGTTAAAGTTTTCTAGAAATTCTTTCAATTTAATTTGCCATAAAAAGGAATGCTCAACTACTTTGAAATATCTCAAGAACAGAGAATCAGACAATCGAATACACTTAGTCTTTTATAACTACTTGTAAATCTTTTGATAAGAAGTACGCTTCTGCATGCGTAAATATGGTAATTACACTTCTGAAGGTCACGATACAAAGGCTAACTTGCATGGCAAACTTCGTCATTAGGCGAGTTCCCTTATGGTCTGGTATCTAAGACTAAGGAGTTTTCTGAACGTTACTGTAAGTTTACTTTCCCATTTATGACTACATTAGTTTTGCATCCAGCGCTAAACCAACGGCGCGGGGCGCTTATGCGTAGATATAAGTACCTCAAAGTCTTCTCTTTGTACGCCAAGAACTATCATCCTTTCACAGGAAGTAAAATCGTTTCCTAAGAGTCACTGAGCAAAAGCGAAGAGCGTCAACAACTCGCGTGAATATAGGAACAAAAGGAGAAAGAACTCGCGGAAATAAGAATTTTAATGGACCTGTTTGACAGTGATCAGCTAAAATATTTATTTGATCTTATTTGCTAAGAAAGCAGATCAACATTGCACAAGTTTGCCTAATTATAATTAGTTGAAAATGGATTTAATCTGCATGAGTAAAAAACGCTCTGTACTTTATACGAAATTAACAAAGTGTCTGCTATATTGAAAAAAATAAAATCGCACACAGTAGGCGCTGTGTAGGAGTTATCACCGTTCGTCTATTAGTGAGCAAATCTCTTTTCCCTCCCACATCCGTAAAATCACAATTCCAGGTTCGTCCTCTTGATGTTCGCTCAAAATCTCCTTCTCTTTCCATAAGTAATTTCTAATCTGCTTGCACCTCGAGTCGAATACTTACCTCCCACGGCCTCTCTCGGTGATGGTAATATCATAACAACTTGTTTCACAGTACGTGCAGTAGAGTACATACTTTTCTTTATAACGAGAGGATTTCTTAAATGATTAAAAAAATTGAGAATATGGTAGGAATAAATGGCTCGCGCCATTGCATTCTCTGCTCATAATTTTAATTGAAAATTAAGCACTTAAATAATAGAGAAGTTTTCGCTTATATAAGTACTTTCATCAAGAAGAATCTTCACCGCCACTTCCTCATGGCGTGACCTTTTGCGCATGTTAAAATATAGCTATGTGTGAAAGTTTACAAAATTGAATTAATAAACCAGGCGGGGGTTTGAATTTCGACACATCGCCATTTTGCTGCCTCCAGCGTCAAAAAGCGCTCCGCTTAATAGCACATATCTCCTCCTTTCTTCCCAGAATTCTACGTTTTTATGAAATAAATAGAAATAAAGAATTGGTAAATGTACTGCGACAGGAGAAAGGCCTATTTTGAGAAACGCGGGACATCATTAAAGTAAAAACGTTAACTGAATGGATGAGTGAGCAAAGCGACTGATCTTTCTCGCACCTAGAAATCACTATACATTATTCACCAAGTCAATATTTGAGATGTCATTACAACAATTAGCTCAAATGTGTCAATCGTAGTACTACCACTGAGTTGGACAAATGCGGAAAGAGAAAGCATTCTACCACCACAGCCATGCTTATGGTCGAGTGTACTCTAGTACTTAGATATCAATGTCCTTGGCCTTCACTGAAATGCACCTTTGCAATAGCATCGGAAGATGTTAATTTGTTGCCATGCAAATATTGTGTTCACTAAACGCTGGACAATCGCTTTTATTTCACGTGTCAAAGTCAATACTGCCATGGATCAATGAGACCATGCCATGAATTTTTCAACTTTGATGTACAACAGAATGTACAACATCAAAACCGAGGGAAGTGATTCGACACCTGGTAATAGAGGGCAATTAGTCAGGGCCTTTTTAAAGTAAAAAAACGTCAACATTGCCCGATTTGAGCCCCCATCGGAAGTGCATCTCAATTCAGAGGATGACCTTACAGGTACGAAAAGCGGGAAATTTGTAACTAAGCCAACCATGGAGAGTTACATCTCTGTAATATCATAGGCGAAAGAAATTGTATATTAGGATTGGAAGACATGGGAAGAAGAAAAATGAGATTTAGGAGTGCATACAACAGTCTAAGTCAAGTTAATATTGAATATAATAATACTTTCATGGGTTTTTATCATTTCCTTAGCCTTCTATAACAAAAGGTTTCCATTAATTCTGCAGGATTCAGGGTATGCAGAGCTATAGAAATTTCCGTGCCTGTAGTGTAATCAAATGAACAACTCAAGCAAAGCATCCATGAGGGAATAGAAAGCGGCAAATTTAACATAGGAGAACCAGTGATGAAAAGAGAGATCACCAAATTGGCTATAAATGCATAGGGACAGATAGAGCAGAGGAAATGCCACTTGCAAGCAAGCAAAATTCCCTTCCAAGACATCAGGAAAGAAGCCAAAATTAAAAGCAAAGACCTCGTTTGAATAAAAACGATGCATTTTATGAAGAGCTCAGTGAAAATGAGATTTGTGCAGAGCTAAAGAAGACTAGTGAAGATATAAGAGGAATAAATGATGAAATCAAACACGGGCTGAAAAGCTTTCAGCGGAAGGAAAAATATCCGATTGAGGACGACCATTCAGCCCTTTCGAATTATGGTCACAAGCTCCTTTGTGTCAGAGAGATGCATGACCCAGAAATCCATCTCTCTGATGCAGAAGCTAGAGTTCAATATGGAAAAGATGTGGATGTCCAGGCAACGTTGGAAATGCCCTATCTGTATATGCTGGTTTAGTAAATTTAACCCAAAAAATGAAAACAGAGGAGGATGTCGAAGTAGAAGATGAGATGAGGTTTATGAATGGAGGCAACCTTGCAGTAAACTTTGAATGTGGAAATCAGCATGGAGGGCATTATGGTTGCCCAGGTTGTGATGGGCATTTAAGCATGTGCCACCATCTAAATTACATGGCCCAAAGAAAGAACAGAACATTGACCGAACGCCAACAACTTGTGTTAGCAAGAACAAAAGAAAAAGAGGCAAGGCAACTCTTGAAACAATTTAAAGATATGAAGGTCAATGAGCTGCAAGCTGAAATTGAAGCAAGAGGACTCGAAGATTCAACCAAAACCAAACCGGAACTTGCACAAATTTTAAATGAAGAACTTGTAGGGGCAACAAGAATTCCAGCACTGTTATTTGGGGATGAGAGTGTAACTAAGGAAGGTCTTAACCTCCATTCCCATGTGGTACTGTATTTTGAAGCTCTTCACTGCTCCATGAATCACATAAAAAACATTCTGGAAAAAACCCCACATTGCATTTCTGACATGATACACTGATAAAACTCAAAGAAATACTAGCTGTTTAACTTAGAACTAATCTAATTAATTATAGCCCTTTACCAGACAACATCCCACGATGTGAGAGCTTTGCTGGCCACCCTGTAGTAAATGGTGGAAATTTTTTATGCCCAGTACAGAAAGAGGTCACAAAGTTGATATTAAGGTTGCATAACCTGTGTTGGAGGCATGCAATTTTGTGCCAAAAAGTGATGACCCCAACTAGAGCCCTAACAATTAGAAAGCTCTTTGGAATATACTTCCATGCATGTATCTCATTCCACCTTTCTTCTTTGTCTTGCTACACCGTATAACTAACGCAGAAATGTTGAAAGGTTGCTTGAGGAGCTGACCGACATCACCAGGAAGACCTGGAACAACCGAGTTCAAAGCTTAGTGAGAAATGCAGTTCTGCACATGCAAGCAGAGAAGAACTCAGGAGGAAACACAGCTGCGACCTGCATCATAGGGCAAGAAAAGGAAATCAGCAACATGAGCAAAGCCCTACCAAAGCTAGAAAACACAATTTGACCCAAAGATGTCATCAACACTCATGCTGGGCATTGGGAGGCTCACATTGAGTCTATTGCTGACCTCCTCGTACTAGGAGAAGTTGTCTGATAGAGAGAAATTGAGGAGGAAGACCGCATCGAGTTCTTAAGAACAAGACCCACGCTTGCAAAGGTAAGCAAAACTTATGAATAGCATCGCCACAAAAATGCCCTTGTCATAGTGCTACTGGTTGGAAAAATCCCCAAGATGAAATTTCTATTGTCTTGTACCTCTAGCCGGTAGAATCTCAGGAGGCTTAGAAAATACTACCGGCTAAAGGTACAGCTTACATACTTAGTCAAGTTTGCTCAATCGTTACTACGGTTTGCTCCACACTTTACTTTTTCTGCACTCAAAATTGGTCTTACACTCCTTTGAATCACTTTTTTGAAAGGATACGTATGCATTTATTTATTTTTATTTGGTCTTGTACCTCTAGCTGGTAGGATCTGAAGGAACTTATAAAATACTATCAGCTAGAGGTACAGCTTGCCCAATTCTTATCAGGGTTTGCTCTACATTTTACTTTTCTGCGCTCCAAGTTATAGTTCTACACTCCTTGGAATCAGTTTTTACAAGAGTACATTTACAGTTATGTTTTTTTTCATTTGGTCTTGTACCTCTAGCTGGTAGGATCTTAAGAGGTTTAGGAAATACTACCGGCTAGAGGTACACCTTGCATATTTAATCGACTTTGCTCAATTTTTATCAGTTTTCTTTGAATTGTGCTTTTCGGCATTCCATTTAGTCTCACGCTAAATTAGAATCACCTTTTCATGAATATCTTCGTGTTTCTTGGTCGTGTACCTCTAGCTAGCCGGTAGGATCTTAAGTGACTGAAAATACTACAGGCAAGAGGTTTTTCGTGCATTTAAGGTGATTTAGCTTATTTTATTTACT